AGGTAGGGCTTGTCGGAGTGAGGGTAGTAATCGACGTGGTTAACACCCTTTGTCTCATGGGCCTCGAGGGTAAAGTTGGGAGTAGAAGATCCAAGACTCCAGATCTTGACAGTTCGATCAAGACAAGCCGAAGCAAAAGTGTTTGTATCCTTGGGGTTAATGGCCAAACCCATGACATAGTGACCATGACCCTCAAAAACCTGCACACACTTCCAACCCTTCTCCCAATCCCAAAGCTTGATGGTCATGTCATCAGAGGCAGTCAAGACGAATGGCTGTGTGGGGTGAACGGCAATGGCTCGAATGTAATCGGGGTGCGCCTCGAAAGAGGTGATCTTCTCGGAGGTGTTGTAATTGTAGACTCGTAGTTGGAAATCATCGGAACCGCAGACAATCCAGTTTTTCCTGGCGATGAATCGACCGGCGCGAACGGGGACATCGGTGAGCTCAAACGTCTTGACGATCTGTTGGGTTTCATGGGACCAGATGTAGACGTGGCCTATACTGTCAGCTTGAGTATTTCGAGCTGCGAGATTCACATACCGCTGTAGAGGGTTGTGAGAATCCATGGCTCGTGAGGATGAAAGTCAATGCCCTTGACTCGCTCACTGCGAGCATAGAGCTGGCGCTGTATTGCGAAACGTGTCAGCTCAGATCGCAGAGTTAAGCTGCCGCAGAGATTAAGTGCGCTCGCTGATAAAATAGCATGATGCTAGTAAGCGGGCGCACTCGAATAGATCCCAAACTGACCTTGACGTCTAATTTCATCTTGTCGTGTGTCGTCGCTGTCGCGTTGCGCAGTTGAAGTTGCAAGCTGTCCAGCAAGGGCGGTGATATCGAGGTAGTGGGGTCGACGTTAAGAATCCCTGAAGGAGGCTACCATGTGGGATGCCAATGGTCGCAAGTCACAGAGATTGAAACTTGGTAATAAGAAAACAGAGAGTCACCGCTATCGTCAATCGTGATGTTTGAATTGACAAAGCTTAAGCTTGTGTATATCAATTTGGAGCTCTCCAAAATGTGTCCTGCGGCTCTTGCCAGGCTGGCCATGGATGTAGTTTTGGCCTGAAGTGTCAGGCTCCACCTCCTTATCCCTTCTTATCAGGGATACTCCAGAAAGGGTCCAGAAAAGGGGGGTTATAGGGTAATTAACAGAATCGAGAACTGAATGAGATGTCATGATATTAAAGAATTGGCCATTCTTTCTCAATTAAATTGACTCGGTTCTACATAGCATGGATCACCTTTATGTTTTCATTCATGGCCGAGTTGCTCAAATTGATATACTATTAATACTATTAATACGCTGCAATATCTCGGTGCATCATCTGGAAGCTTGTGAACAAGACACCCATGGGAAAGGTATTGTTAGAACCACCTTTCAATTGATATTGAACCCCTACTGCATTAACAAAAGACTCTAGTTTCTGTTTATAGCATCCACATTAACTCAGCCAAGATATCACTCGACACGCGTCGTCTTCGTACATGGTGAATTGTGTGGCTGTACAACAAGTTGGTTGCTTACATCAAATTGTTGATACTGTATACCACCAATCTGTGATTGCTTGGGCATTACTCCGTATTTGGGCAAACATTGATCATTATGAACTAGTCTCGCTTCTCCTCCTTCTCATTTACCCCTTATGTTATGGATTATTTGGCTGGACCTCGCTCTAGGCTCATTCTCTAGCTGATCAACAAAGCTAGAGCCCGTGGCTGTGGCTTAATAAAATCGACCTTACGGGATTACTCCAGACCATCTCCACAGTCTGAGCTCCTGTGTCGCAGACTGAGACACTGTGTTTCCAGCACCCAAAACAGCGCTACCAACACCCTAGTCACAGTGCGGGCTGCCCACGAGAAGATCCACTCTTTCCACTGTCGCCCAATTGGGCCTTGGATGTCATAGTAATCCCCTTCTTCCATCCCCCGTACCCATTCATATCTCGGCTGGTCTTGTCTCGGGCTCTTGTGCTTCGCCTCCTCCTCATATTCAACCTCTTCCATCTTTGTTCAATTTGAACCTTCTTTCCCTTTCCAAAGTCGGCGCACAGTTTGCTTCCGTCACGTCGACTTGCGATCCTTCGATACAAACAGCGGCCGGTTTACGCTTCCCACGCATGCGGGGTTACAAATCATCCATTTGTTGAATACTGTCTGTCTGCCACGCCACCAGCCTCCTGCTTGATCAGGAGTTTGTCAGCGCAGTGAACACTTGTTGCTTGGCTCGATTGTGCAACTTTCACCAACTGTTGATCTAGCATATCTCAACCCGCAAATACCTCGTCGACACCGCAACAATGTCTTGGAAGCTTACCAAGAGTATGTTTTATGTCCGAAATCTGTCGCATCAACTAACATCTACCAGAGTTAAAGGAAACCCATCTGGGTCAAACCTTAAGCCCCTTCTCTCGATCCCCCTCCACTTCAACCATCACCGACAAGGAAAAGGATGGACAGGCTAGCGGCGCTGTTACGCCTACAACAGAAAGTGCCATAGGTAAGCAAATTGGACTGGAATACAGTCAGTATCTGACTTGAATAGCTGCCTCCGAGGCCATGACACAGGCTCCTGTTGTTAAGCCCCCCAAGCCCGGTATTCTCGTTGTTACTCTCCATGAAGGTCAAGGATTTTCTCTTCCTGAGCAGCACCGAAGTGCTTTTGCCTCATCACACCAAGGATCGATGTCTTCTTCCAACGCTCTCAACATGTCTGGCTCTGTTCGACCAGGATCTTCACAACGTGTCGCCGGATCATTTGTTAACGGCAATAACCGACCACACTCATCCGCTGGCGGCTTCAACGGTATCCCTACCAACCACGGCCGAATTTCCGGAAAGTACATGCCATATGCCCTCCTCGATTTCGACAAGGTTCAGGTCTTTGTCAACTCGGTCGATGGAAACCCTGAGAACCCCCTATGGGCCGGTGGAAACACTCAGTACAAGTTCGATGTGTCAAGAGTGACAGAGCTCGTCATTCACCTGTACATGCGCAACCCGAATGCACCACCCGGATCTGGGCGAAGCCAGGATATTTTCCTTGGTGTTGTCCGCATCAACCCCCGGTTCGAAGAGAGACAGGAATACGTGGAAGACCCCAAGGCCAGCAAGAAGGACCGTGAGAAGGCTGCTGCTGAGCACGCAGCGCGCAATGGTCACCAAGGTACTGAGTGGGTTGATGTGCAATATGGAACTGGTAGAATCAAGGTTGGTGTCGAGTATGTTGAGACCCGAGCAGGTAAGCTCAAGATTGAAGACTTTGAACTACTCAAGGTCGTCGGTAAGGGCAGTTTCGGCAAGGTTATGCAGGTACGCAAGAAGGACACAAACCGAATTTACGCCCTCAAGACAATCCGAAAGGCGCACATCATTTCACGATCCGAAGTCGCCCATACACTCGCCGAGCGATCTGTGCTGGCACAGATCAACAATCCTTTCATTGTACCTCTCAAGTTTAGTTTCCAGTCACCGGAGAAGCTCTACTTTGTCCTTGCTTTTGTCAACGGAGGAGAATTGTTTCACCATTTACAAAAGGAGCATCGATTCGACGTCAACAGATCCCGTTTCTACACTGCCGAACTTTTGTGCGCTTTGGAATGCCTCCACGGCTTCAGCGTCATTTACAGAGATCTTAAGCCCGAGAACATTCTTCTGGATTATCAAGGCCATATTGCCCTGTGCGACTTTGGTCTCTGCAAGCTTGATATGAAGGATGAGGACCGAACCAACACTTTCTGTGGTACACCCGAGTATCTTGCTCCCGAGTTGTTGATGGGTCAAGGTTATAACAAGACAGTTGATTGGTGGACTCTTGGTGTTTTGCTGTATGAGATGTTGACAGGTCTGCCACCTTTCTACGATGAGAACACCAACGAGATGTATCGCAAGATTCTATCAGAGCCTCTTCACTTCTCTGATGTGGTTCCTCCAGCTGCCAAGGATCTCCTTACCAAGCTTTTGAACCGCAACCCTGAGGAGCGACTTGGTGCCAATGGGTCTGCTGAGATCAAGGCTCATCCTTTCTTCCATGCTATTGACTGGAGGAAGCTTCTACAGCGCAAGTACGAGCCTACCTTCAAGCCCAGTGTGGTATGTACACTCCCCCCAAATCGAAATTGAACCTAGCTAACATGTTTAGGCCGACGCTCTGGACACTGCCAACTTTGACCCCGAATTCACATCCGAAGCCCCTCAAGATTCTTACGTCGAAGGTCCCATGCTCTCCCAAACTATGCAGAACCAATTCCAAGGATTTAGCTACAACCGTCCGATCGCTGGACTTGGCGATGCAGGCGGTAGTGTCAAGGATCCATCATTTGTCGGTAGCTTGACGGATAACCGATAAATCGCTGGCTTGGCGAAAGAAAGATAGACAGCGAGCGGGCTCGAGTCTGGACTGGCTGACTCGAACATGGTATCAGTCTTGTCAATGAGCCAGGGGAGGGAAACACGTGTAAGCCATCATCAGCGCAAACTAGGAGAAGAGAACCTAGAGAGAGGATGAATGTAGATAAGAAGCCTTGACTTGCTTTGGCGTGTTGGAGTTTGATACACTCGTTAGTTCTGTGGATATGTCATTCAATGTGATTGTAGAATGTGTTTCGTGGCCTTGTGACCTTGACCTTGTTGTTCCTTGTTTATGTCTCTTCCTCTGTCGTGACAATGCTCATTGTTTCCGGCATTGTTCTACAAGGCTAGCAAACAATGAGCTCTCATGTATTGGTGCTCACATGAAATTTGTAATTGCCATGCCGACACAAACTCACTTTACGATTCAGTATAGACTAGCGTTGCCTGTGTCGGGACCTCAAGACGCTTCATGAATAGATCGCGACTATAGCTTGAAGCCAGCTGAGGCCGCGCAACGCTATGGAGTAGTGTGACTCTAAATAACCTTCACAACATTCGCCACAACACCAACAAGACTCCAAATCGTGAACAAAACAAACAAGACAACAAACGGATGCCCAAAATCACCAAAAAAAGAAAAGCAATGCTCACTGCAGGGTTCGAACCTGCGCACATTAAATGTAGCAGAATCCTTAGCAGTTGAGCTTAAGTCTGCCGCCTTAACCACTCGGCCAAGTGAGCTTTGAGAAAGACGTGCAATTTTGGTGCTTATTGTAGCCCAAGAATACTGCCTTGGTTGTGTCGAAGCTGGTTTTTTAAGGCTGAATGCAGAATGCGGCTTTTTCGTAAAACGTTGGGGTTATGATGGATGAGGGATATCATGACAGCGGGCGAGTCTAGACCATGGGCTGCATGAAAAGTTTTGAGGTTTAGGATCGGACAGATTGCCGATATGGACATTGGGGGAAAGGTGAGAGAGTACACCTCGGTGTGTCAGGACATCAACGTTCAATAGGATCATTGCTGATGTTAGTAAAGGTACTGAATCGACGATCAACTCAATAAACTCAATTGCATATTGTTTGAGACATCAACCAAAGCTGTGCATATTCTATAGAATGACTGAGCTAAACTCTTATAGTAAACTGTTCATGAAAACATGCAACTTCACGATAGACGTGCTGTCTTCGGTGATTCACACGGAGGTGATGCGGGACAACTACGGCGAGTGCCCGGCTTAACCGGAATCCTAACAAGGATGCTCCTTATGACGCAGGCAAAAAGGCTAATATGATTATGGAGACATGACGAAAAGATTTGGCAAAGTTCAGTCAGCCACCTTGATGATTTGTAAATTTGGCAGCAGTACAGTCAAGTTATAGTAATAATTTTAGGTGTTGGAGCGGGGCTATTATTATAAGCTGGAAGAGCTCTGCTTTTTAGCTTTGGAGAGCAGCATGGTGTAGCGTCATGCTGTCTGTCATTGGAGGGGTTAGCTGCCAGTTGATATGACAGATACAACAATTGAGAGAAATTGACAAAAATACACAGATGTTATCATGTCATATGATATATAGTAATTAAGAGTTACAAAGTGGTATCATGAGTATCAATTGATCGAATAGAACACGAAAGAAGACATAGATATCTTGGTGAAGTGGGATGATGAAAGCCCCCACTCCGCTCATGCCGCTCTGCTCTTCCCCTCCCCCTCCATCTCCATTGGATTGGAGCTCTACTACCTGAGAGACAAGACAATTCAGACATAACCTCATTTCCCCTCCCACTCTTTTCTGATCTGATATTTCTCTTCTTCTTCTTTCCATCACCTCCATCTTTCACCTCCTCTAACAATTCTACAACATCCAAAATGGCCCCCGCAAACACTCTCCCCGCCTGGTCTGACCTCCAAGCCCATCGCGACAGCGTAGGCAAGTCCTTCGTCCTCAAGGAGGCATTCGCTTCCGACCCCCAACGATTCGACCGATTCACCCGAACCTTTACCTCCGGCGGCGTCAGCTCCGAGATCCTCTTCGATTTCTCCAAGAACTTCCTCACAGATGAGACACTCGATCTTTTGGTCAAGCTAGCTGAGCAGGCTGGCGTTGAGAAGAAGCGCGATGCTATGTTTGCTGGTGAAAAGATCAACTTCACCGAGGGTCGCGCCGTGTATCACACTGCTCTGCGAAATGTTGGTGGTTGGGATATGAAGGTTGATGGTGTTGATGTCATGAACACAAAGGGTGGTGTCAATGAGGTTCTTCAGCACATGAAGGAGTTTTCTGAGCAGGTTCGAAGTGGACAGTGGAAGGGATATACTGGCAAGAAGCTTACAACTATTATCAACATTGGTATTGGTGGTTCTGATCTGTAAGCACTCAAATTCACGTCTCCAATAGTGTGTACCAGACTGACACCCTCTAGCGGCCCTGTCATGGTCACTGAGGCTCTCAAGCACTACGGCGCTGAAGACATGACCCTTCACTTTGTCTCCAACATTGACGGAACCCACATCGCCGAGGCCCTCAAGAACTCTGACCCCGAGACCACTCTCTTCCTCATCGCCTCCAAGACCTTCACCACTGCAGAGACCACCACCAACGCCAACACAGCCAAGAAGTGGTTCCTCGAAAAGACCGACAACAAGGGCGACATTGCCAAGCACTTTGTTGCTCTCTCCACCAACGAGGAGGAGGTCACCAAGTTTGGCATCGACAGCAAGAACATGTTTGGCTTTGAGAGCTGGGTCGGTGGTCGATACTCTGTCTGGAGTGCCATTGGTTTGAGCATTGCTCTCTATGTTGGCTTTGACAACTTCCACAAGTTCCTCAGTGGTGCTCATGCCATGGATAAACACTTCCGTGAGACTCCTCTCAAGGACAACATTCCTGTTCTCGGTGGTCTTTTGAGTGTCTGGTACTCTGACTTCTTCCAGGCTCAGACTCACCTTGTTGCTCCGTAAGTGCATGCCAGAACATGGGAGTATACAGACTAACAATGTTAGCTTCGATCAATACCTCCACCGATTCCCTGCCTATCTTCAGCAGCTTTCTATGGAGTCCAACGGAAAATCCATCACTTCTGATGGATCTCCTGCCAAGTACACCACTGGTAAGTGGATAACCTCCTGCATAAGACGACTCGGCTAACCGTCAGGCCCCATTCTCTTCGGTGAGCCTTGTACCAATGCTCAGCACTCCTTCTTCCAGCTTGTCCACCAAGGCACCAAGCTGATCCCTACCGACTTCATCCTCGCCGCCAAGTCTCACAACCCTGTCAGCGACAATCTCCACCAGAAGATGCTTGCCTCCAACTACTTTGCCCAAGCTGAGGCTCTCATGGTCGGCAAGACTGATGAGCAGGTCCGTGCCGAGGGTACTCCCGAAGAGCTTGTTCCTCACAAGCGCTTCCTGGGTAACCGACCTACAACCTCCATCCTTGTTGGTGGTTCCATTGGTCCTGCCGAGCTTGGTGCTCTGATTGTCTACTATGAGCACCTTACCTTTACCGAGGGTGCTATCTGGGACATCAACAGCTTTGATCAGTGGGGTGTTGAGCTGGGTAAGGTTTTGGCCAAGAAGATTCTCAAGGAGCTTGATGAGGAGGGTAATGGTGAGGGACATGATGCTTCTACTGGTGGACTCATTGGAGCTTTCAAGAAGTATGGTAACTAAAAGGAGGATGAGTTATAATGAGCGAGTGGAACGATGTTGATAATGATTAAAGATACATGAATAAGTTTGACGACCTATGCCTGGACTTGTCTTTGAAGGATTATGTTCTGGGCCCATTGATGAATGGACGTAATAAGTTCCGTGCATGGTGATGTCTCTATACAAGTAGACAAGGAAGTACTTGTCTCAATTCATGAAGAGTAGTATCGATCGAATGTGTATCGTGATTCTCTGCGTAACTTTTCAGATTACCTTGTAATTCCAAGATGTCTACTCATTGTAACATCAAACACGGCACGAGAAGACGGCACAAAAGGATATGAATGCGCGATTTCCCACATAGCATCTCCAAATCGCAGCACCTTATCACTTATCTACACCAATGACACGTGGAACAAGGAACCTCGGTCATTTTATGACCATTTACATATGTTTTGTCTCAAGTTTCCATGTTTCCGTGACAAACGTGTCTCTCCGCATTAGGCATGTTTTGAGACTGTTGGGTGCTGGTGTGTTTGGGAAGCGTTGGCGTTGGTGGTGAGACGAGCAGGTGAGGTTCGCATGTGGAGTTTGCGGGGGAATATGGGGAAGAGGGGAATTTGCTTCTGAGGGTGTAGGAGGGATGTAGGAGTGGCATGTTTATGAGATATGTCACGCAGACTTATCACATCGGGGTTATAGCGGTGATTTCGCAGGGGGAAGTCCCCAGACTTGCAGAGGGAGTGTGAGGTGGAGAGGGAGGGAGCTGGAGATACGGGGGCGGGGAATGGAGATTACTGGCAAAGGCTTGCATGTGTTGGTTGATGCCTGCAAGTAAGCGGGAGGGAACTTGTACTTGAAGTTGCATGCCTCGGGGATGACTAGGTAATGGTTATGATTGAGGTTGATGAGGAGGTTGATGTTATCACGATATTCAACTGGAGTTAATTCGGCTCATGTCGGGAAACAACATGTTTACTTTACAAGTCTGGTTCAGAAAACGACGATATCTGTTGAGATCGTCATTCATAGTCACGGCACCTGAAGCGAGGTTTTGCATGCGGTGCAGTGATACCATCTGAATAAGCCGCGGTCAAAGCGAACGGCCAAACACTCGCATCTGCCAATCAATATCGCTCCATCTAAAGCACTGCCAATCAATATCACTCCATCTAACCAATATCCAAACCAGTCCAGCCAACCCAACCCAAACTTAATGCTGCGCAAACCAACCCAAAGCCCGTTCTGATTTCGTCAGTAACAACTCCACTCACACTAACCTCGAATGCAATACAACAAGAGACGGAAGAATTTTTGTGCAGGTTGTTGGTGTGAGTGGGTAACCTAACCTCTGACGTCGCCTAGAATTGAGGCTTTTCACGATGTTCTCATCGCGTCGATGACGAGATCTGATCAGAGTGGTTCATTCACTTTTTCTTGATTGAGGGAGGATATGCCATGCTACATCGGTGTGGGCTGGTGGCTTGAACCCTTAGACCCTTATGTTGCAAGACAAGTCAAGATTGAGACAAGATACAGTAACAAACGGTTCTAATACCAACTCTATGAAAAGTAACATTGATTTGGTCATTGAGTTTGCGTTTGTTTGCGAAATTTGTTGAGTCGTATACGCCCTGAATAATAAGGTTCAGCCTGAAGATACAGTTCCCTTTCCCAGATCATCAGGTCCCGCGGTACCCGAACCAAAGATACACAATGAAGGCATCACCAATCAGAAGACGGCGCTAAGCAAAACCAAAGGTGAACGCATTTGAACGGTCTCGTTCAGTCTTGGCTGAGGAGACTCCACTGACGGTTGATTCGCTGGTAGCGTTATCTACGGAGGGAGGCTATGCTACATAGAACGGAAGCGGGCTGTCGGGGTTGAGGGCCGAGGAACGGAAATGGATTGTGAATGATCCGAAATGCCTCATCCAAAACTGTGAATCAGAGACTCAAACTTGAGTTGATTGATGGTGAGGGAATTATGCTCGAATAGTGGCATGGTACGGTAGGGTAAGGACATGGACAGTTGAGAATACGGTGGCAGAAATGATCCGTTTCACCCCTGGAAAAACAGGAACCAGA